AGGTAATGCAAACTTGCCGTTATTAGCACTTTGGCTGAAGGCTGAGTGACCGGAAAGACTCGCCACGAGTGCACAAACCTCTTGGGAGGGTATTTATACTCGTTTCTTGATTTTGCATTATTCCCATCAATAAATGACTATGGAATGTAATGTCTGTGAGCCACGACTGGAAGAGCACTGGTCAATGGAGGACACTATTTCTATGCTCAGCATTTTAGTCCTTGTGCTATGACTGGCGGTATTACAGAAAATTAAATATTATAAAAAAGAGATCAATGACAAAAAACAAAATGTTAGATATATTTATTTTCCTTGCACTGAGTTGTAGAACAGGTAGATGATATGGAGTCTGTGCAAGGAAAGCAGTATGTTACCATCAGGATAATGCAAATCAAATAACAAATATGGACATTGGAAAATGGAAAAAAGCTAAAAACACTGCTGCATATACACCACCATGTTGTCTGAACAGTGGGCTCACTTCAGTCAGTTAAACATTTGTGAGGTCTCACACTGCTAGTTCAGTAATGATTTCAGGTGTTTGCCCTGCATAGAAAATCCAGCAGTCTTTATTCACTAAAGATTGAAAAGTTAAAGAGACTTGGCCAACTCTGATAGGTTATTGGCCAGAGACAGAGATTGAGACTGGTGGCCTGCCATGTCGACTTGGAAGGGCCAGTGGTCCAGGAAGTTGCTTGATGATTTATTGGTTCTTGTGTTTTCTCTTATTATTATTATTATTATTATTTCAATATTATCATTAACATTATAGGTATTGTTATTATTCTTTCTTTAGTTTCATTGGACCTCATATTCTGAAAGTTAATGACAAAAAATCAGTTTATTTATAGCCAGATGAAGTTCATGAACATACATTGCAGTGTTTTATATTCAGAATTGGTGTGTGAGAACTCTATAGATTCTTTAGATCAATGTAAATGTTTTAAATGTTTTCATTTTTTTCTTCAGTGAAACTAGTTGTAAAATGTTTAGAATTATTTTTTCTAAGGCAGATTTTCTAATTGTGAACCTAGTATTTCATGCCTTTCATTAAAGCAACAGCAACATCATTATCTATGTAACCTCCTGTGTCATCTATTTTCTCAAAGATTTGTATATTATTCCTAATCTTACTGACGTATCAATCTGTTGGTCATTCTGAAACTTGTTGAAAGGGCTGCAACTTTTTGGTTTAGCTTACCCGTTTTTCCACATCCTACAATTAGTTGTACCTAATATTGCAGTGATGGTGCAGTGACAGACAGCAAAGAGGGGGCAGAGGATGCTACAGAAGACCCAGCCATGAAAGTACTTGGTCAGCTTTCCACCAAATTCTGTCTCAATCTCTGCTCTTCAGTTATCAATCATCTCCAGGCTGGTAAGCTGATTGTTGGGGGAACATTGTTTTCCACTGTATTTATATTAATACAAAAGGAGAGTGAATAAGAAAAGGTAATAATAAATTACTATCAATTAACAATGTTCTTGGCTTCCCAGGAGGTGCAGGTGGGGAGTATGTAGAGCTGTTGGCACAGGTTAGTGGTATACAGCCCAGTGCTGATGCCAGCCAGGGTGGCAGGGCTGGCAATGAGGACTCTAGTCAGCTGGATTTAGCAGTAGATGCTCTAAACAAGAAGGCACCTGACACCATCAATCTGAACAAGGAAGATATTGCCAAACTCCAAAAAGACGATGCCTTTGTGGGCAAGAAAACAGAGGCAAGAGGCTCCATAAGTGGGTCCTCCCAGAAGCAGAAAGGGGGAAAGGCAGCAAAGGAACCTGAGAAAGACTGTGTGCTTTTCACCTGTGGGCATCACTTCACAAACAAGGATTTCAAGGTTAGGTCTTGTTTTGTGATGAATGTTACCAGAATGCTGTAGGAATTTAGTTCCAAGTGTTAGGTTAAGGATGTCAGTTTTTTTCTGAATTTTTCTATTTTGATATCTGATTATGCAACAATGAGAAAGAAATTTTTCACTAACAAATGCATTATTATTTTTGCACACTTATTTTTTATTAACCAAACACTTCTTTTGTTATCTCAGACCCGTGTATTACCTCAAATGGAGACATCTGTGATGTCGGTTCCTGGACTTCTGGGGAAGACAGCGAGAGTTCTTTTAGACCAGTATCACAGCGACCAACCTGAGATGGCCTGCCCACATTGTGTGCTTGCTCATCTCACAATTAAGCTAACAAAGCACAAGCAAACCAACTAAGGGAATGATAATCAGGACTGCTGTCTGAAGAGTGTGATAACTTTTATTTTATATTGATTGTTTTTTTTTTTCTTCTTCTTCTTCTTCGTCTTTTTCTTTTTCTTTTGTTTTTTTTTTTCTCTCTCTCTCTTCTCCTCCTTCACCTCCTCCTCCTCCTCCTCCTCCTCTTCTTAGTGATACTGTGGTTAGAAATACATATATTGTTTCTATGAGAGGGAAAAGGTAGAGGTGTGGGGTCATCAGAGGGGTTTTAGATGACATATCGAGAGTATTTTGATTAC